CTGGGTCCACTTCTTTCTTTTTTTTTTTTTTCCTTTTATTTATTTATTTTTACATTTTCCCACTTCTTCCTTTTTAATATGTATTCATTTTATTTCTTTTTCTTGCCTTATTGTACTTTTAAAGACCTGCAGTAAAATGTTGAATAGAAATGGTAGGAATGGTAAGAGAAGACTTTACCTTGCTTCTAATTTTAGAGTCTTTCACCAGTAGGTCTGGTGTCATCTTTAGGCTTTTTTTTTTTTATATTATCATCATAATCTTCTTTATATTACATTGGATTACATATAACTTTACATTGACTTCCATTGCTTTTTCAAAAGGGAATGCCATGCATGTCAGTCAATACATAGACATCAATCTCCCTGCTTTATCATTCAATGTCTTTTCCATGCATTTCCCAATAATTATCATTATTATAATTTTTTAAAACAGTCAATCACTATTTCTCATTTTGCTTGTTAAAAGACTTCACCCATCATGAAATACTTCCCAGACCAGTCCAGTTGAGAATACTATACACGTCATCATCAACAGATAATAAACCATATCTGTTTCTCACTAACATCCTCTCTATTGTTCACTTGTTATCTTTCTCTATCCTCTTCTCTCTTTTTTTTATAGTTTATTTTTTATTATAATTTTTTCCCCCATCGCAACACACAAATGAATTTTCCATCCAAGATATACTGTGCATTGGCTCAATCAAGCACGTCAACATGTATGTTCTCAGCAAATAATTTCCCAATTCTTGTGTCCTGCATACCTTGCCTTTTGTTTTACCATCCTAGATTCCCCATCCCCCTCCCTCTGTTATGACCCATCCTCCTCCCACATTGTCCCTGGCATCCACGATTGCCCTCCGTGCCTCCCCCCTCCCCAAATGATCTGTCAGTGAACTTAATTAGTCTAAATATATCCAATAGTTATCACAGCTGACACATACCTATACATGAACTCAAGTCTGACTTTAGGCCTAAACCCCATTGGGTAAAAAGAGCATACTATAAAGTAGAACCCAACTGGGCCCATACCGCTCACTGCAGCCATCAAATATCCATTTTTTTTT